TGTTAGGTATGTAAAAAGTCCAATAGATTCAAGTTTGTGATACTTTTTCATTATCCTCCACAAAAATTTATTACAATAGCTGACAAAACAATGTCTGAATAATCCAAATGTTGACTGGCAAAACTGGGAGTGAGTAGGTGGTATCCCCACTAGCTAATTTTTACAAGAATTTGTAAAAAATAATGTTTATAATTATGTGCATTGTGTCCCACATTTCAGAAAAAAAAGAAGAAATAATCAAGAAAGTACAAATTGTACAGTTGAGAGGTTTAGAGTCTGTTTGGTGAGAATTAATATCTGATTTTAATCTAAGTTAAAGTCAGACAATCAATATTAACCACATCTTTCATGGGTCGCACAACTTTTCAACCACACATTTCAAAAATTTCTATCTCAATCTACTAAAAATCTAATTTTAATCCTCACCAAACACCCTCTCAGTTGAAGTCTTCCATTCGAATGGCAATATGACAAGTAGCACAAGGTTAGATAAATTTTCTTTAATGTGAAATCAATTCTTTGATATTTCATGTAAAAAACAGATATGGATATTTGTATCTTCATTAACCATTTGATTTAGTATTCAATATATATATGTTTATCATTTATCTTTTTGAAGTTTTGATTGAGTGTAACAATGTAATGAATGAAATATTCGTAAAACTGAATCAACGGTAATGGGATGCTAAGTCGTTTTTTTTTTTTTTTTGAAGGCAACGTGGATGCTAGAATGCATTAGGAAATTAACGAAATTTATAAGAGTTAGTCTATAGGTACAGAAAAAACTTACAGAAATTTTACAGAATTTTGAAATGGACAGCGCAGATGCAAAGTTTGGAAAAATATATAAAAACACAGACCAACAGAATGTTGCCACAGCAGCATCTTGTCAATTTTCTGGGAAAATTCCCTGTACTAAATGTGCGAATGGAACATGGAATTTACTACACGTACCAAAAATTAAACAGGAACTCAGTTTCATATCAAAATTATACGTGAACTTACAAATTTTTATCACATCTAGATGGATTAACTTCCATCACTTAAAACTAACGAAATAATCCACGTGACAAACAGAATACATACGGGTTAACGATATGGCACACTTGTCAAATTAATTACGGGAATGGTACATGAACTTTATCCTTGTACCAAAATATACATGAACTTTACCCCTTGTATCAAATCATACATGAACTCAATTTTGTATCAAAATTATAGATGGATTCGCAAATTTGTATCCCACTCATACAAGGATTAACTTTTACGGGTCAAAATTAACCGAATAAATTTGTAAGTTCATGTATAATTACGATATAAAGCTGAGTTCATGTATGATTTTAATATGTGGAGTAAAGCTCATGTATAATTTCAATACAAGTGTATATTTAATGTACTATTTGCGTAATTAACTTGTCAAGTGTTTGTCACGTAGGAACTTTGTTAGCTATGTGGGTTATTACAATAATTTTAATTGACGAAAGTTAATTCATGTATGAATAGCATAAAAAAATTTAGTTCATGTATAATTTTTATACAAAGTCAAGTTCAGAGATGTTTTGGTACATGGATAAAGTTCATAGACCATTTGACCCCTTGAGGAAAGAAAGAATTTGGCTAGAATAATTGATCGAGATTACTATTCATAAATATTTCATTTTTATTATTTTCTCTTCCATATTCTTGATCACAATCAAGAGACAAATAGAGAATTTTAATCTAAATTAAACCCCTTCCTAATTTCAAGATGAGATCCTTGATTTTGGTTGAATATTTCAACTCGAGTAAATAAATGAAATTTTTTTTTTACCAATCGAAGATAAAGAATCTCAATTACTAATTGAGAGTATTTCGATCAACGCCCGAATTTTAAATTTGTAGCCCATCAAAAAGTCGTTGCTAATTTAAAGTGATTTGACTCTTTACAA